CTTGGAGTTGAAAAATCTCGATTTTTCACACCCTATATCTTTGTTATCATTCCCGCTAGACCCCAAGTGTAATAGATCGATAAAATCAGCTTTCAAGGAAGAATCTAAAAACGGGATGATATATAGGGAGGCCTATCCAAAAAATCAAAAATGTTGCTACTTTTCAATATAAGCGGCAACATCGCAGTGTTGAGAATGTTTTCGGTGGATAGAACACAACTAATTATCCAAGAAACCGAATGTTCAGTATAATCCCACGTTGCGTTCTCTAGAAACGTCTAATAAGCCATCCACCGTGAATCAGCCTGTATATATATATTTATATACCTATAAAGAAATACAGGGGGAACAGTTCTTAAGCAAACTAGAAAGGAATAATTGGACATAGCCCTCATGAAGATTCAACCGCAGGCACGTGTTTCGGGCGTTCGGCCCTCATCAGTACAGTGAAAAAAGTGTGCAAGAGATAGTCAATACTTGGTGGAAGACGAAACAACAAATCAACGGTGTCAACAAATCGACGGTGTTAACAAACAGAAGCCGCAAAATTGTGGTTTCGATCAGCAGACCATGCGTATTCAGGGCTTGAACTAACGTCATCACGGAGGCAACTATAGCTTTACCTGGAATCTTGTTATTTTCATAGATCTCTAATCGCATATTCGTGATTGGGTTTTCTCAATCAAGAATTTCTTTCCACGTCCTGTATGATGACTATCAATTTGTCATACATTCAAAAACGAATGTATTTTCAATGTATAATGTCTGAAATTGATACAAAAAGCTGAAATACATTTCCACACAATGTTCATAAGATGAACAATAATGGTAGTTTTCGGGAAAAAATGAAACTACTTTCCTGACCAATGCCACGCAGAACATGGATCGACTCACATGAACGAATACTGATACGAGTGATTCTTTCCTGAATGCCTATTGATTGCGATTTAGACAGGCCACGCTAGACACCTACAGACCGGTTTCGAGCTCATTGACTCCCATCAGCCAAACAAAAATCAAGTCGGCATTTTATTTCATCAGGAGAGAAACATTCCAGAACAAAAATTTCCATACGGGAGTGGCTGGTTGCCCTACTGGCGTAATTTCAAAGGCAAAGTGGAATAAAATGTTAAATAAATATAAAAAGCTCGAAGTAATTCGCACAGAATGTTCATAAAATGATTTACCGAAATCTAGTGCATTTTATGAACATTGTGTGGAAATTACTTTGAGCTTTTTGTGTATACAGGGTGTTTCAAAAAAACCTGACCCCCTTGTTAGGGTAGGTAGAACACTGCAAAATAAGATGGATTTGCTCAGTGGAAAAATGTAGTAACTGCATCCGTTTTCAAGATACAAGGGGTTGAAAAAATTATTTTTTTACACATTTTTTACGATTATCTCGAAACTACTGGCACCATTGTGATGAAATTTTTTATGGATGTTTTTTATAATCTGACACATGGCATGAATTTGTTTTTTTAACTGAATCTCATAGATGGCGCTAGTTACACGGTTCGTATCTAGTAGTTTTAAACATAACTTTTTTGAGGTTAGATTTTTGAATCCGAATTTGATGTGAACTTGAAAATTATTTAATTTCACACCACGAAGGTACTCTTGGTGAAACTCGATGCTGGGTTCCGTTGTCGAAATATTCCGATTTGAAAATGATGAAGTGATAACTGTTGCTGGTATAAAGCTATGTATTAGAGTGAGTATTATAAAAAATCATCACCTATTTATTGCAAACCGAAAAAACAAAACATTCCTAATGCTAAACTTATTGATTTAACAATGATTCACAAGAATACCATTGAAACAAATTTTACTAAAACATGGATTACACAGTTTCGTTGTGTCAAGCAAAAAGTATATGCTACAGAGGTGAATTCATGTCTGGAGTGTCAAGTCAGAATTGAACATCACTTAGATGACCTTACAGCTGATCCTCAATCGTTTAGAAAAGTAATGCTTTCATAAAAAAAAATATCGAATCGTGTATTCGTGGAAACGGAGGACATTTTGAACACTTACTCTAAATGATTCAATATTTTATGTTCCTAGTCAAATATTTTTCAATTTTCTACTAGTGATTCTTTGTTGAATCAATAACCACAGCACTAGAATGATGTTATTGTTTTTGAATCTGAATAAACAAGTGATTGATCTCAATGAAATAGATTTTACACGAGCATCAGTTATTACTCCATTATTTTCAAATCGATATATTCCGAAAACGGAAGATATAGTATATCGAGTTTCACCAAGAGTACCTTTTTGGTGTGAAATTGAATGATGTTCAAGTTCACATCAAATTTGGGTTGGAGAATCTAACCTCAAAAAAGTTATGTTTAAGACTAATCGGTACGAACCGTGTAACTAGCGCCCTCTATGAGAATCAGGTATAAAAATAAATGCATGCGATGTGTTAGGTTCCAAAAAACATTCATACAGAATTTTATCACGATGTTGCCAGTAGTTTCGACGTAATCGTGAAAAATGTGTAAAAAAATAATTTTTTCAACACCTTGTATCTTGAAAACGGATGCCGTTACGACATTTTTTTACTGAACAAACTCAACTTATTCTGCAGTGGTCTACCTACCCTATCAAGAAGGTCAGGTTTTTCTGAAACACCCTGTATTTAACATCTCATTCCACTTTGAGCATTGTGGCTACTTCGTAGTTGTAATAATGTCTTGTATTATGTTCATCTGTTGATACATGTTATGATTAGGATTTTATTCATATGTGTTCGTTTGTGAATGTTTTCAACATGTGAATAAATGGATTTCATACGGCTTCCCGTTCGTGAGGGGACTTCCACTGAGGCATGGGTTAGAGTCCCACTCAGGCCATGGATGTTTGTCATTACTAACCTCGCACAAGATTCGATCTATGTGGCGCCAATTGTAGTTACTATGAAAGATTCAAACAAAAATAACAGAATAGGTTGTCACCCGGATATATAGGTACCTACCAAAAGGTAATTCAAATTTCCTCGCTTTCCATCTCCGAGCAATACCGAGAAACACATCTTCAGAACATCCTGAACGTGATTCAATACGGAATGTTATTGTAAGATAAATTTGGTCGGCGAAGGCCAAGCTAGCTTAAAAAAGAAACAAAACAAAAGATATCTAGTCGAGATGTTGAGAACACTGTTTATGTCTGTGACCTTCATATTTCTTTTTCCCTATAACTTTCCTCAAGAGGCTTGCACAAGCCACTGTTATGGAATTGTTTCAATGAAGGATTTGAGCAAGCATCAAGCTATATCTGTAATGATCCAGTGGTTAGGTAAGTTCATCCTGAGAACTAAAATTATTCTGTCGTCAGTCATTGATTCAGTGGCTATATTAGGCAGATGATGGATGGCATATTTGTGAGTTTCATTATTTTGCATGAAATTTGATGTATAATGTGGAATTGTTAAGGATTCCTAATATCCACAATGTGTTTCAATTTTTATAATAGTAAAAAAATATGGTTCACCTCATCAGGCATGTCGTTTGTTCATATACTACGAGGATACGATTCATTGAATTTTCTGCACGTTCTTGCTATAATTCCCTCACGTTTTCCAGGATATTTCATAATATACAGGGTGTTCCATTTAAAAAACCGCACGTTCAACCCTGTTTGTATCTAGCAGTAAGTTCATGAATTTTGAACGACCCTGTATAATGCAGAACAAACTTCTCTCTTCAGAATCAATATACATGATCTTGATGAACCAAACACAAAATTGCAACTTCCTAAGAACCCAAATACCGCAGAAATAAACATTCAATTCGGTATGTTTTGGATTAAAATTATGCAAAATAATCAATATCTCAAAAACCGTTAGAGATAGGTAAAGGTATGAGGCAGAAATAATCAGAAAGTGATTATAAGTTAGAAAATGCGGTAACATACAGGGTGTCCCAATTGAAATACCAAAGATGCTGCTACTTTCTGGTATGAGCGGCAATGCTGCATTGCTGAAAATATTTCAGATCGATAGATCGAGGGCAATTAATTGAGTAACCAAATTTTCAGAAAGATTTTATGTCCCGTTCTCCGTAAACGTCTAAGGTGCCATCGACCGTGACCTACCCTGTATATATGTATACTCATAGTTATTTATTATACAAGGGAAAAAAGTAGTAGATTTCAGCTCCAGGTTGTGTTGTCTCCCGAAGCGTAGCGGAGAGAGACGAAAAACCGTGAGCTAGAATCTAATATTTTTCCCGTGTATACTGTATAATACACTATTTTTGTCTGTGACAGAAAAAAAGGACCTTCTTTCGGTCATTACAGGGAATGCCTGAAACTATTAGGCAAACGGTGTACGAAATTTAGAATTTCGCTGTTTGCCGACAATACGTGAAATGACTAGGCATTCCAGAGAATGACGGATTTCACTGTTTGACGCCGAATATATGTGATATATGCCGGGAAGAAAGTACCTACTTTTTCCCGTGGGAAAAATGATTTTGTAACCTGTCAGCAGAGATGAAATTTCAAACTTTTTTTCCGTCACAGAAGATAATAAATATGTTATCATCACGAGAGATCTATATTATCAGAATGAAACAATCTTGTCTTCAGATGAAATGGAAAGTATATTTTCATTTGAATAATGCATGAATTCTGACATATATATGATATAGATATCTTAAAAATTCAATAATTATATATTCTTTTCGTGTTGAAAATCTCACAAACATTGTTTCAATGTTGATGATCTTTCAGGATATGGTAAACAATTATAGGAAAATATAGATATTTACTCATCACGAGAGATCAATATTATCAGAAAATTGTATTCAAAATGAAACAATCTTTTCTTTAGGTGAAATGATGATGATGATGAGTATATGTTCATTTGAATAATGTATGAATTCTGACTTATATATATATGTTATGAATATCTTGAAAATATAATAATCAGGTACTCTTTTTATGTTGGAAATCTCACGAAGATGGTTTCAATGTCGATGATCTCTCAGGATATGGTAAGGAATCATAATAATATGTTTCTCTTCGTTTTCCGAAACTCAGAAAATTTAAGAAAAATGATAGAATCATGTGATTGGAGTGATGTTTTTTTTATATCTTGTGACAAAATTTGTGTCTCACTTTTGAGAATAATTCAATGACATTCGATCCATATCTATTTAGTTTACGATTGCCAAAGTTTTTTTGAATCAGTCTTCTTTTTTCGGGATTGGATATGAAGTGAGACACATTGTATATACGACTACTTATGATGGTATTTTAATCCTATAGCAACAAGATGATGTGTGCATAGTATAAATTATGTTTACTAAGCCATTATTTTTCCACCTCTGACCTCTAGTGAGAAATCATCAAGATTTCCATGAAAATCATTGCTGTGATGTAATATCTTCTGTCACGTACGAGCTACTAACTTATGTTATTATAAAATAATGAATACGGAATCAGTCATGAAAAAAATCATAATCATGTACACAGTAAGAAATTTTCAGGTTTAATGCCGATCGAGTGGATGTAAGAAACAACTCCGATTGAATCAACACTTAATTAGCAATTTCCAATCAGTATTATAATACAAATTTGATAATACCGTGAACAGTGAAAAATTGCACGGTTGTGGTAAATTAGAGAGGTTCTGAAATGTCCATCCAAAAGAAGTATCAAAAGTTAATTCTTTCGATAGTGGTATTATTCAACGCAAATACACTCATAATATATAATTATCACCTAGTTGAATCATGACAAATTACGAATTATTCAAAACTTTGTATAAATCACATGATATATAAGGGGCTATGATATAATCCACTCATCAAGTCTTGATGGTCATGCATCCTCCCTACTGATTGCTCATGTTGAAATAACCACCTGAATCTTCTAAAGTTAATGAGGAATGTTTGCTTATATACCTATACAGTACCAAATTTTAAAAAAATCCGTTCACGAATGTGGAAGTTACAGGAGTTGGCTGGATACCCTGTGTCACCCGGTATATATGAACTTTTCGACTTAAAATCACTAAAAAATTGACCCTCCACTCTTGGCCACATACTCAAATAACACCCTGTATACATGATAACTCGAACATTGTTCAAACGTCTTGCCCAATAAAATTAAGCTCAAAGTGTATGAAATGGTTTTAGAGATCTCAACAGTTGGTCAGACCACAAACCATATGCAAAACACGTGATATTATATTCTATTGGATCGGAAAATTCTAAATCTGTAGTAAATAGAGTAGTATTATAACTTATAATAGGTTCACTTTCATTTAGTAGTGAGTACATGGTGATTCAAGTTTTTCCTAAAAAATTGTGTAAGTGATAAAGATCTTCCATAAATATTATGGACATGCCAAAGTTCATAGATAGAGGTCGACAAGACAAGAATTCTTGTCTTGATGACAACTTCTGGCCTTGTCTTGTGAAAGAGTCAAGGAATTTCAATTAATCTTGTCTTGACGTTATTTTGACGTGTTATATCTTGTCTTTACTCTTGAAATTTCAAGATCTTGATGTGACACATTACATGGTGATTCCCTTTTTATTGAATTGCTTGCTCATGGCAATCTGTTGGTTTCTCGATCTCTATTTGTTTTCTGACAAACCCAAAGTCGTCGGACGCTCTACCCCATTTATTCGAGTATAGGTATGTTTATTATTACAAAGTGATAAAATGTATCAGTTATGTAATATGTATCATGCCAGTTGGTGGATAGTGCCGATAATGGTGGTGAATAGTACCTATATTGTTTGACGGGCACCGAATGATAGTCATTTTCCACGAGAAAGAAGTTTACATCAACATGCGTCGTAGGAGTGGGAAAAAAACATTCCGTGCGAGTTATACACTATACATTTTCTACGGCTGTAACATATAACAGCGAGTTTTCAGACAGAGCTGTCATGGAACTTTCCATTTCCTGGGAGAGGATATTTTGTTAAATAATAACACGATGAAGTAATTCTGATATCAGGTACGGAAATGAAATTGACGACATATCCTAAGTAACTCATTGATTCATTAAGAACACAGTGAAACAAGATCAATTTTGTGTTACAGCCATGAAAAAATTCATTAAATTAAGTAATTCATTTAACCATGAGTGACTGTTACTCTTCAATAAGCAGTTTATCTGCTGAGCCATTTGGCTTCGACTTTTGATCAGAATATTCATCAACAAGCAGAAGTCAGAAACTCAGGTACCTAAACATTGCGATCTCAGTAAATATGGAATAATCAATTTTCATTAGGTTTATCATTATTAATTCGATTTTATCATTCTAGCAAAATATTTGTTTAATAAATTGAAATATGTCATGAAACGTGTTATCTGTTTCAAGAATTAAAACGTTACAGCGTACGTCATCAAGGCAAGATCAAGACAAGATCAAGACAAGATCAAGACAAGATCAAGACAAGATCAAGACAAGATCAAGACAAGATCAAGACAAGATCAAGACAAGATCAAGACAAGATCAAGACAAGATCAAGACAAGATCAAGACAAGATCAAGACAAGATCAAGACAAGATCAAGACAAGATCAAGACAAGATCAAGACAAGATCAAGACAAGATCAAGACAAGATCAAGACAAGATCAAGACAAGATCAAGACAAGATCAAGACAAGATCAAGACAAGATCAAGACAAGATCAAGACAAGATCAAGACAAGATCAAGACAAGATCAAGACAAGATCAAGACAAGATCAAGACAAGATCAAGACAAGATCAAGACAAGATCAAGACAAGATCAAGACAAGATCAAGACAAGATCAAGACAAGATCAAGACAAGATCAAGACAAGATCAAGACAAGATCAAGACAAGATCAAGACAAGATCAAGACAAGATCAAGACAAGATCAAGATAAGATCAAGACAAGATCAAGACAAGATCAAGACAAGATCAAGACAAGATCAAGACAAGATCAAGACAAGATCAAGACAAGATCAAGACAAGATCAAGACAAGATCAAGACAAGATCAAGACAAGATCAAGACAAGATCAAGACAAGATCAAGACAAGATCAAGACAAGATCAAGACAAGATCAAGACAAGATCAAGACAAGATCAAGACAAGATCAAGACAAGATCAAGACAAGATCTTGGAATTTTCGAGAACCTGGCGACCCCTATTCATAGACCTACAAGTAGAAGGGGTTCGTTGAGAACAATACATCAGAGCGTTTAAGGGCCTTAGGGCAATTAAATTTTCAACAAAATCTCAGGAAGTATTCTTATAACTCGGATCAATACTTCAAAAGGAAGATATTCGAATTGGGAGAACTATCGTTATATTATACTCTCTTAAAAATCATGAAAAAACTTTGTCGTCCTTAAATGCACAGCCATGGTAGATATAAGATGATATAAGATATGAAAATGTATCATGTAGTGATTTAACTGTCTCTATAGACAAAAATTCATGGCAAATTGAGAAACTGCAGTCAACTTTCATCATACCTATAGGTATATACCTATAAATTCATACCCATATACCTAATAAATTCATTTCAAAACAAGACGACTTTCGAAATAAAACCAAAAACTAGAGTTCAGAACTTTTTTTTCGACGTATTTTCCTAACTAGACGACCCTTCGATGATCAATTCTCAGTAGCAGACCTCTGCAAGATTCAATTAATCACATGATCATCCATTTTAATTGCAATCTTCTTATGCAAAATTTTGACTGTTGAATAGACGATCGGTAGACCTTTCAATCAAGGTATCACATGACCCCTAATTGTATTTGAAAAAATCGTCCATTACGTCTTCACTCCAACACCGGTGACGTAACATCTCTCATATGAATATCATGAGATGAGGCTTCAGAAATTAAGAACGTGTTTTTGAAATTTTTTCAAATGTCGCCCATTTCTGAAATAATGAATTTATTCCATACATTTGCATCATACTGTATATTTATAAGATATTATACTATATTATAATTAATGATTGTGAGGATTCTAAGTGAATGAATTCATTCTTCCATGGAAAATCGACTGATGACCAAACACTAGTTGATGAGCCGACTAAGTACATCCTTGTTTCATAGACATAAATGACAAGTAAACATGAGACCATTATACCTATTTGAGTAAGTATCCAATACTGATTATACGTCGTTTTCAATGAAAACAGCCTCAAGAGAGGTATTCGAAAATAAATTTGTTTTCGCAAATAAGTAATTATTATTGTTTATCCCCTTGTTCACGATTCGAGCAAACACCTAACGTCTAAGTGTTTTTTTTATTGATAAGTGTATTGGTACCTACCTATTGAAGACATCAGTGTATTTAGAAGCAGCTATATAATCTTTATAGTCCAACAATTTTTTATCGTCAGGTATATTTATTATGAAAACAACATATTTCATGCATTTGTTAGGTAACATGACTATCGGGTTATAAGAACAGGGTAATTATTCATTAATCCATGCCCTCTCTTGATAATCGTTTTTTTTTACCTATTCGAAGAAGTGTCAAATGGAAGTTGTGTGGTCATGACTGATTCATTTTGGAATGCTAATCAACATACACTATTATGCAAATTTCAGATGAAAACATATTCCTTTCATTTTTTTGAATGTTTGGAAAAGTGTTGCTCTTTTTTTTAAATATACCCCTTCCTAAGGTCAATATCGTGTGTCACCTTCAAATCCTTGTTTCATCTAGTCAAGATGCAAATATTCAAAGATAATCCTCATAGGATCTGATTCTTCAGTTGTGTGTTGTTTTCTCTATTATCTGCAGTAAAGAATCAGTCTAGAAAATTCATTTTATATTTTGATAAAAATGACAATCGAAAATGGACATGTCCTTGATCTACCGAAATAGATAGAGGACACATAAGTTGAATCTTATATGATGCATTTGATTGTTGACGAGTGATTACGTCACATGTTCGGGTTCTCACATAAAGGGATATCCTGTAATGTTCAGAGAACAACCAAGGAAAGAAAGGTAGGAATTGGTGTTCTTCTTGAATTTCTGGAGGTTATATGTCTCGGAGAACACCTCCCTTGGCAATGTGTTCCACAGCCCAGCTAATCGTTGGATGAACGAGTCTTTGGAAAGAGATGTTCTGCAGTTCTCCAAAGTGACCACGAAGAGGTGCGAAGCCTCAACTCGACGGGTTAATCTCGCGGGGACTGCCAAGGGAGGAACTATTGTTGATATTTCAGAAGAGCATCGTCCATGAACATATCTATAAAATAGGGCCAGATCTCCAACGTTTCTACGGTGTTCCAGAGAAGTGAGTGAGTTCGTGAGCTAGGCATCACCCACGAGACGAATTGCCTCTTCTTGGACAGAATCCAAAAATTCCAGGGTATGTTTGGGTACTGCACTCCAAATATGGGAACGGTATTCCAGGACAGGTCGGATCTGTGCTTTATAGATCATATGTAGCTGACTGGAAGTGGAAGGTTATTGCTGATAGTAATACCAAGCATCGAAATGAATGTCTTCAAAGGTACATACAGTTACTCCTGACAAGCTTATGTTGGGCACAGTGAGATCGGCTTTTCTAGAGAAAAGGCATGCTTGTGTTTTGTTTGCATTGAAATCTACCAAGTTATTGGATCCCCATTCGAGAATTGTTGCCAAGTCCATATTTATGTTGTCAATGTATTTACTCATCATTCCCAATTCACAAATTATGAATACAAAAACATTTCAGTGGCACAAATTTGATGGTTGTTAATAAGGAGAACGTTTCTTTTTCTCGTTCTTGATGTGAATAGCTCAATGATTTCTTCGCGGTAGAAGCAATTACTATGAGTCGCTTATTATCTTATATTCAACTCCACAACCACTCGCATTTTCATTGGAACGATGACCACGCCGAAGCCTAATTGCTTATTTCAGAAGAATACTTCCTTAAGCTCAGCGTGAACATCATCGTCATGTAATAGCCCATCACTTATTCAAATTAGGCAACATTTCACGGTTATTCTTGGTTATTCTCTTGCATTACCAACTTGTGGTTTCTCTGACCGGAACTGATATAACGAAATCGAGTCTCGATAATTCCATTGGTTTAAATTTAGAGGGCAATGTCTCGTCCTCCAACTTGTCCAACCCATCACGGATATGGAGTTTCTCTCGATCATATACAGGGTAGGGTGTCTTGAAAGGTCTGTATAAAATCTTGGTACATATTTCTGAGATCAAAATAATCCGATTTGAAGTGTTTCTTTCCTTCTTTTCTACTCAGATGGCGTTGCTTTCATATTGTCGATGAAGGACGCCTCTGGGGGAATATAATACCGACTTGATTTTTGTTTGGCTAGGCTACGGTTAGTTGGCGTTCTTAGGACTGCTTGCTGGAGACTGCCCTGCATTGATGTGAGTCAAAGAGCTCGAAACCGGTCTATAGGTGTCTAGTGTGGCCTGGCTAAATCGAAATCAATAGGCATTCAAGAAAGAATCACTTGTATCAGTATTCGTTTATACGAGTCGGTGCATCAATTTCAAGAGGATGTAGCCAGGAGAGTAGTTGTTTTTCTCCCGGAATCTACCATTCTTGTTTATTTTATGAACATTGTGTGGAAATTACTTTTAGCTTATTGTATTTATTTGAGCGGATTTTCAGAAGAGGTTTTTTCTTCTTGGAAATGATCAGAAAATAACTCCCTCTAATGGCCACAGTGAAAAGGGGTCCGTTCTCGTGTTCCACGTGTCAAGAACCACTGGATATCAATTGTTGAAGTTATAAGTTCAAAAATGTTTATAGAATCTGCAGAATTCGATTCTTATTATTCATCTTTACCACCCTGTATACTCATTGAAAACGGAGCAATTCTGGACTGAGATAAGTTGCTTCGAATCGGCTTATTTTGAGCCCAGAAATAAGTGCTGCGATTTTGTATAGACCCTGTATATATGGCCTCCTTAAATAATCAATTTGAAAAAGTGAGTTCACTGAAAAATTATACAGCATCTTCCTGAAACTAAGGAGAAATATACAGAGCGTTCCTGTAGAAGGTTTCAACAAAAACAATTAAAATACAAACTTGCTCAGTTTCGGCGATACAAGTTATGATTTCTAACCGGTTTTACTTCATGAAAATGAAAATATTTTGTTTCTGCAACCAACACAAAAGTCGTCTATTTTAATACCAAAATTAGCTATTGAATTGACCTTTCTATCACTGACACAAACATCGGTATGTTGCTAGGCAACACTTTTAATTCCTAGGAGCTAAAGTTGACGCTACGCGTCGACAACAAAACGACAGACTAAACAAGATACGGAGAAACTCATAAAACAAGGAAGTTGTCATCAAATCGAATGAGAAGATCTCAAGTTGAGAGAGAGCTATAGCTGACACTTCGCCTTCTCATCATTATTTGTTGTTCTTCTTCTCACTGCACTTTTCTTTCAATATTCACGAGTTCTGTCGTCTAACAACAGAATTTTTTAGATGGCAATCTAAAAAACTCTGTAAATAGTTGATATCTTCTATGACACCCATCGAAAGGAATATAGGTTTCAATACCAGTTACCCTGTATATTTTCCGGATGAGAATGGTTTTACCAGTGCCACAATTTCTAGTTTTAATTCATTGAATATTGTTTGCATTATATTGAAGGAGCCGGTATAAGAATTGAAAATCTGATAAGTCCAGATGTTGCATCGATAAATTATACGGAGGAAAGTAAAACTTGATGCCTTGCAGCCGACCGATAGAAAGTATAACCACCGGCGAATGTTTCATTATCACTTGACTCTTCCTTTCAATTCAGCACGTGCGTACGAAAAATTACCAATTGAGATACAGATCAAGTAATTCAAATATTCCAAATATCAGTAGCGGCTCGTGACCCCTCCATGTACATGTATAGGTGATAGATATTCACGATA